TTTGGGAACCCCTACAATAATATAATATACATTAATGTTAAATGTGCCGTTCTGCATAATGACTACTTTTACTTTTGGTATTTTAAGTATATTTTGATGCTATTACTTTTGTACTTTTACCTAAGTAACATTTTGAGTGCAGGATTTTTACTTGTAACAAGAGCCTTTTTACACTGTGATATTCCTTGTACATAAGTAAAAAAAAAAGACCACTTCTTCCACCACTGTTCAGCCATGGTGATATAAATGCGAATTTATTATTTCCTGCTTAAATTTATTTTGCCACAAATCAAAAAGATGATAACTGCTGGAACAGAATTACTTTGTATTTCTGGATGCACACTACTTAAATTAATTAATAAATAAATCAATACATTTATTTTACTTGCATTGTTATTGTCACGTGATATGAAATGATACAGTGAAATTAAGAGTTCATAGATCATACTCAACTACCTCCTTTCCTGTGCTATAAGCAATGTCCCTTATTAGCAGTATATCGAAGTCTATCATTTTCCTAGCGTTTAAATTTTACATCACAATGAGTAACATACAGTGGGTATGGAAAGTATTCAGACCCCCTTAAATTTTTCACTCTGTTATATTGCAGCCATATGCTAAAATCATTTAAGTTCATTTTTTTCCTCATTAATGTACACACAGCACCCCATATTGACAGAAAAACACAGAATTTTTGACATTTTTGCAGATTTATTAAAAAAGAAAAACTGAAATATCACATGGTCATAAGTATTCAGACCCTTTGCTGTGACACTCATATATTTAACTTAGGTACTGTCCATTTCTTCTGATCATCCCTCAGATGGTTCTACACCTTCATTTGAGTCCAACTGTGTTTGATTATACTGATTGGACGTGATTAGGAAAGCCACACACCTGTCTATATAAGACCCTACAGCTCACAGTGCATGTCAGAGCAAATGAGAATCATGAGGTCAAAGGAACTGCCTGAAGAGCTCAGAGACAGAATTGTGACAAGGCACAGATCTGGCCAAGGTTACAAAAAAATTTCTGCTGCACTTAAGGTTCCTAAGAGCACAGTGGCCTCCATAACCCTTAAATGGAAGACGTTTGGGACGACCAGAACCCTTCCTAGAGCTGGCCGTCCGACCAAACTGAGCTATCGGGGGAGAAGAGCCTTGGTGAGAGAGGTACAGAAGAACCCAAAGATGACTGTGGCTGAACTCCAGAGATGCAGTCGGGAGATGGGAGAAAGTTGTAAAAAGTCAACCATCACTGCAGCCCTCCACCAGTCAGGGCTTTATGGCAGAGTGGCCTGATGGAAGCCTCTCCTCAGTGCAAGACACATGAAAGCCCACATGGAGTTTGCTAAAAAACACCTGAAGGACTCCAAGATGGTGAGAAATAAGATTCTCTGGTCTGATGAGACCAAGATAGAACTTTTTGGCCTTAATTCTAAGCGGTATGTGTGGAGAAAACCAGGCACTGCTCATCACCTGTCCAATACAGTCCCAACAGTGAAGCATGGTGGTGGCAGCATCATGCTATGGGGGTGTTTTTCAGCTGCAGGGACAGGACGACTGGTTGCAATCGAGGGAAGGATGAATGCGGCCAAGTACAGGGATATCCTGGACGAAAACCTTCTCCAGAGTGCTCAGGACCTCAGACTGGGCCGAAGGTTCACCTTCAAACAAGACAATGACCCTAAGCACACAGCTAAAATAATTGTTGCATCATTCCCAAAAAGACTCATGGCTGTATTAGCTCAAAAGGGGGCTTCTACTAAATACTGAGCAAAGGGTCTGAATGCTTATGACCATGTGATATTTCAGTTTTTCTTTTTTAATAAATCTGCAAAAATGTCAACAATTCTGTTTTTCTGTCAATATGGGATGCTGTGTGTACATTGAGGAAAAAAATGAACTTAAATGATTTTAGCATATGGCTGCAATATAACAAAGAGTGAAAAATTTAAGGGGGTCTGAATACTTTCCGTACCCACTGTATGCCAGTCTTCGAGTGGTGTGAACTAGATGAACAAGTTCTAATCACAGTCAACCAGTCTGTATCAACACAGAACTGCATAATCACTGCATCCTGCCTCTCTCGCATCCTCTCCTAGCCCATTTCAAACAATACCATGGATTAACTGTTCTTCCCATCTACTGGCAGCAGGCAACAGTAACCAGGACTGTAATTAAAGGCCCCTCTGGCTGCTCTCTAGAGACAGTTCTGATACCCTCTTGGTGCAGATGCCAAGGCCCGCTAAACAGCTCTGCAAAGCAAAGGCACACAGAGTGGTAAAATGGTGGATATGGGTCACTTATGGCTACTTAGAGATAGGAATTATTTTGTGAATCAGTGGCTTTCCATCAGATAAAGACTTAGTGCATAACATGTTGAACCTGCTAATACAAACTTTAACCTGTCTCTACTATTAGTTGGTCCATGACAATAAGAAATCACCTAAAATACTAATTATCACCAATTGCACTAAAATTTATCCTGCCATCAGTGCAATTCCCGAGGAAAGAAATACAAAGACAAGGAACGTGGTTCTTAATTACTGTGCCCACAAACACACTTTTTCTTCTGTTACACATCCAAGTACTGTACTGTGTCTAGTTGTTAAAGAATTGTACTACCTTTACTAGGAAATGATAAGTAAACTCTTCTGTGGTCTGGACTGCACATGTACAAACAGTAAGTACTTTCCTCTCATGTCATTCATTTTTAGAGCAACAAACATATGGTTAATAGCTCTGAAACCACCTCATCACAAGCCCGACAACAGCTCCGGCAACATTTATCTAAACTGTACTGTGGTGCACAGAAGCATACCAGCAAAAAAAAAAAAAAAGAAATGGCTCCAAGTCCCCTCAACACAACACCTGCAGAGGCCTACGATTGTATTACCACAGCAAGAAGTAGTATGTTACCTGTGCAATTATGATCAGTGCCTTGTGAGGACACCACAAACACACACAACCACCTGGAAAAGTGTGGACTGTTAGGCCGCCTAAACAGCTTTGCTCAGCACAATGAAGTATTGTGAGGTGCATATGAACAGTGCATCAGTGAAGGCAGGTTTATCAAAAAGAATGTTTCTTCTGTATAGAGTTGCTAGATATCAGGTTGATCAGCCACCCCTATGGTTCTTTATAATATACAGGGCTGATTAATATAGCCATAGTTTACAATACATCAGTGAAAGTAGTCTTGTTGAGGACTGCACTGCTATTAATATTGGTGCTGATTTTAACATTTTTTTAAATGGACATGTGGTCTTTTGCAGAAGCCAGCATGGTCAAACGTTAACTAGAATACTAACTTGGAGCACACTGCAACTGGACTGTGTAATACCAGAAACAAAAACATTTCATCCAAAAGCATCAACCAGCAATCAACATGGCAAGCAGATGCCTTTTACAATGATCCACAACTGTATTTTCCAAGGTATGAGCACTCACCATACATCAGGTAGCTACTTTTTCAATGCAAGTGCTGATTCCTTACATTCAACAGCAAAACATTACCTTTTCATTGGCCTAATTTGATGAATATACTACAAGCATGTTTTTCTAAAAGCCAAAAAAATAAATACACTTCCTCTAATAAAAGGATGTGAAGTTCTAAAATTTTAAATGTTGTCCAAACACAAGCAAAACTGTCAGAATTTGAATCAGCTGCTACAGATACATACATATTTCAGTCAAATTTGACTTTGTAACATCAGTGTTGAAGGCAATGGATAAAGCAATTATTTATCATAACCTGGAATTTCAGTGAACTAATAAATCATTTCATCCTGGGACAAATATTTGGTGTTGATCTTCCCGCCATCACTGAGCTCCAAGATAAGATTAAGTTTCCACTGCCTTCACAGGGGTGCTACACAGGCTTCATGCAGTGAACCTTTAGTGTAAGCACTTGCCCAAACAGCACAGGGCAGCACTGAAGAGCAGTATACTACTTCTTTCACTGTCCATGCTTAAACATACTGTATCAACATTCTTAAGATGAGTGAGTATGTGTGGGTCTATGTGTGAAGTTCAATTTTTAAAAAGTAACCAAAATTTCCTCATTGCCTCTGTCAAGCGTTGTAGATTTGTGAGAACAGAGACTCAAAAAGGGGATGTAAATAAAACCTAAAATAAGACAGTCTTTGAAAGCATTCTTTACGCACAACTAATTCTAAAACTGCTTTCAGACTCCTTCAAGTTTAGTGCCACATGAACCACAACAATGGCTGACAAACAAGCTTAGCTGGGCACATATCTCATCATCCATTTCAAGTGCTGGAAATAGTCTCATGTTTCTGCCATCACTGAAGTTACCTGATGTGAAAGATATATCAGTCATGAGGACACTCAATCGGTCTGTCTGCACAGCCCTCACAGCAAATCAATGAGCCAGTTAATTTAGTGTAATGGGACACCCATGGACAGTACAGCTGACCTTGTAGCACATGGTCTATGGCAACCTGCAAAATTATCAGTGGCAAGTACTGCTACAAGCATACTACTAGAATACACAGCTTGATAGGTAAAACAACTGCAAATCTGAGCATTCAATCTTGCACAGGGCCCTGGCACATTACTGACTGTAGTTCTGAACTGAAGGTTTCTAAACCTAAAACAGGCTGTGGTGAACACATGTTCCAAGTTCTGTAAGCAAACCACAGCAAGTAACAGCGACGTGTGAAACAGGTGCTAGACACACTGCCAAACACTGTTCTGTAGCTGTGACTCTGATAAAGGAGGGCAGTCAAGGAAAGTAGACTGGACACCAAGATGGCACTGCAGGTAATAAGCAGGGTCTTTCCAAAGAAAACTGTCAACAAATCATACAAGATAAAAAAGGATTACTGTGCTTGGGTAAAGACAATATGGTTTCATAAATATTGCCCACATCCTGTCCTATGGCAGCGCACTATAACTCTTCTGTCATGTCCTACTTAACATTGTGATTCACTGCATTACTTATGTATTGTTCAACAGCCTACATGTTTTGCATACCTACGGCTGGAGCATCATACTCATCACCCAGCAGTATTTCTGGTGCAGAGTATGCCAGAGATCCACAGCTGGTTGTCAGCTTTTTTCCAGGTTGAAACTTGTTACTGAATCCAAAGTCAGTGAGCTTGACCAGCCCTTGTTTCTCAAAGAACACCACATTCTCTGGCTTGAGGTCCCTGTGCACCACATGCAGCCGATGACAGTATGAGATAGCATGAACAATCTGGGCAAAATATTTCTTAGCCAGCTCTTCATTCAGACCCTCCTCATGTTTCATGATGTAGTCAAACATATCCCCTCCATCACCTAATTCCAAGATGAGGTAAAGTTTGGTTTGAGTGTCTATCACTTCATACAGGCGCACAATGTTGGGATGCTGGACCAGCTTCATGCAGCGAACTTCCTGGAAAAGGTGACCTGTAGCCACGGTGTCCAGTTTAGTCTTGTCAATAACTTTCACTGCCACTTTCTCCCCTGTGAAGACATGGCGCGCCAGCTTGACTACCGCAAAGTGGCCACGGCCCAGCGTTTTGTCCAGGTCATACAGGCCAGCAATCTTGCCATCATAGCCCCGCTTGAAGCCTGCCATAGCTGGAGAGGGTGAGGGGGAGAGGGGAGCCCCCGCTGTAGGCAGGGGCAGGTTGGATGAGTCGTGTGGGTCCAGCTTATTTCAGTTCATCAAGGGCTGAAGGAGAAACCCATGGCTCCAACTCCCTATATGACATAACACACCCAAAATTACAACTGATTACAGCACAGCAGCTAAGCTGATCATAAGAACTGAATAGGATATAAATGGGTCCAAAAACAATTTTAAGCGTTCCGTGTTCCACCTATTGTAATACTAATGCATCCGCCCACTCCCTTATTCTAAGCAATGTGCAGAATAAAGGCTGTGGCTACAACGTTAATGCAAAATCGGGTAAATTGGTTCCATATTGCGTATTGTTCAAATAGTTTTCAAAGATAGCACGCAATTTAAAGCGCAAAAATTGCATTCATGGACAGAAGTTTGTTGAATATTCAGTGGAAGCGCTGGGCTTGTTTTGACAGAATGGCTGCTGCACTAACCTTAGCCAATTTACCCTGATGCGCTGCCTCGTGCGGCTACAATAAACCAAACTATTCTAAAACTAATATTAGAAGCTTCCCATGGTCGTGCGTATATTCATTTGTTCTACTGTAACATTGGAGTTGGACAGCCTATCGTTAGTCCACAAGCCAGTAGCATAACGGGCCCCGAGGAGACACAACCAACTAAGGCTAGCCTAACGTTATCAGGGGCTAGCTCGTTGTTCATTGATTGATCAGCGTTAGCTTTCTTACTGACTGACGTTAACTGCGTTCCTTCTGTAACGCTAGGTCGTTACCCGCTTATTTACAAACCAACGCGAAAATAATCTCTACACAAAACACACTTAGCTGTAACAGAGCTCTGACCACGCAGGTAAACAGGTGCAGCGTCAAATATCACACAGCTAACCATAGTTAGCATGTAGCAAGCTAAAGTTACTAACGCTAGGGCTCGCTCAGCTTACCTCTCCACCTTCTCTGCGGTAAACATAAAGCCCGGAGTCCGGTCTTCGCCGGCTACCTTGGGCCCTTCGGGTTTTGTCTAATGACGGCTATTACAAGTAATGAGACGAGGATAGTACAGCCTCTTCGAAGTGACGGAGGCACCTCAGATGGTGCCTATGCCCATGGCTCATCTGTAAAACAAGACATAACATCGTCGGCAGCCCTAATCGGAACGGTTGTATCCTCCCAGCCGAGGCGGTAGGACTATGATGCTGCCTTCATGTGCTGAAAAAGAGTCGAGATTTCCGATACGCTCATATTTTCCCGGGATTGCTATAGGACAGTATATGCGTGCTCAAAAAATATTTCCGCTATTCAAGAGATAGGCATGAGAAGACATAACTTACAGAGCATTTTTCTCACAACCCTATCATAAGATGAACTGGCTTTTTGAAGTGCCAAAACAGCTATTTAACAAGTCTTTTGTTCATTTGACTTTGATAACATCATTATTATTGTTATTTTTAAAAACACTTACAAGAGACACAGATACTGTATGTTTATTATAAATTTGGGCGCTCAGTCATATTCTTACGAGGGCCACGTGAAGGCAGCATAAGAGCATCACCGAGAGTTGCTCTTGACGTCAAAGGTGCTGAACAATTTCCACAACAGTAAATAATATAAATATCTGATTGATAATGACAAATTTGTCTTAATGAAAGGGAAAGTTTCTAACTGGTATAAACATATGAATATTATAACATGCAGTATGTCGTTCCAATAATCTATAACTTATTAAACGTGCATCAACATCCAACAAGATTTGAGATGTAATGATCAACTTTCAATATCTGTCATCTATAGCCTGCTACAATATTTCCATACAGCCAACGTTTTTATGCGGTGGAACCACTGTCTGTCATTATTAAATTGTGTTCCCAATAACCAGCCTACAGTGACATCTAGTGACAGCCAAAACATTTGGTTTTGGCCTTGGACTTAACAGGAAGTGAATATGCCTCTTCCTTGTGTTATTTTCCGTTACTTAAAAAGAATAATGTAATTTCACACACAAAACATGTGTACTTAACAGTTTATATAATTTCATTTTTTGTATAACATGACCAAGTGTCTTTTTTTACCTAGTGGTTTTGTCCTGTATTTATGGTAGTGAGCATTAAAATAATTTACAGGATATCATTTTAATTTTGACCAGTAAAAGTACTGTGCACAACAAAATGGACATGGGGAAATGTATTCTAACAGCAGAAAATACAGGTCTGACACTTGCATGTGGTCACAAGATAAATCTGAGGGATGTGAGATGAGAAAAAGGAAGCCACATAAAGATACAGAGGCTAATTTTTTGAGACAGTTTTCATTCTCAAAACTTAATTTGTCAAGAAACATTTATACATACAGTGCAAAACTGGGATATTAAAAGTATTCTTATCTAGTTTCTGTCCCTACAGAAAAGCAGGAAGAGGCAATGTTAGATGACTTTTCAACTTACTGCTGGATTTTTCACACGGTACAGATTGCAGTTATACCTGGCTGAGCTCCAGTCACATAGCCTGTCCACCAATCTGTGATCTGAGTTAGCAAGCTTTCAGTACTATTAACAAGATAGTACAGTCAACTGTCAGAAAATAAAGGCTTGACAAACCACACTGCCAGTTGTCACCTGTTTTTCTTTTTCCAAACTCAAGATGGGAGTGTTGTTTTGTGTTTGATTTGGAACCAGAGTGTACTTTACACAGACCTCAACATAGTAACTGGGTCTCTGGAGATTCACGAGAGTTTGATGGAAGAAATACTGGATGGATGCTAATGGATACTCTTTAGCTAAACAATCTCATAGTTCATCATTATTACATTTGTCAAACGACCCATTGCACTCTGGGACTACATTTACTTTGCACCCTTTTTTCATTGTCATCACTAAGAATTTTCAGACATATACAGGTGTGTGTCACAATTTCTCAATTAATGCTGTCGTGATTTACAGTGGCAAGAAAAAGTATGTGAACCTTTTGGAATTTCATGGTTTTCTGCATCAATTTGTCATAAAATATGGTCTGATCTTCATCTAAGTCGAGTACTGACAAATATAATGTGCCTAATATAACAACACAAAAATATTCTGATGTTTCATGTCTTTATTGAAGACACTCATTCAACATTCAAAATGGCGTTGGAAAAAGTAAGTGAACCCCTGGAATTAATAACTGGTTGACGCCCCTTGGCAGCAATAACCTCAACCAGGAGCTTCCTGTAGCTGTGGATCAGACCTGCACATCGTTCAGGAGGAATTTTAGCCCATTCTTCCTGTAGAACTGCTTTAGCTCGGTCATATTCTTTGGATGTCTCCTGTGTATGGATCTCTTCAAGTCATTCCATAGCATTTCCATTGGGTTGAGGTCTGGACTCTGACTTGGCCACTCCAAAAGGCAGATTTTGTTTTTTTGTTGTGGACAATGATGCCTTCAAATCTTTGGCTGTCAATCGGGGTTGTTTCTTAACCTCATTGATGAGTCTTCGTTGTGCTCTTGGGGTCATTTTGTTGAAGAAGAAGAAGAAGAAGAAACTTTATTTTATTGTCATTGTAACATTGACACAAAATTTTGTGTGGAGCCGAGGGCCCCGGGCCACTGCATGCATACGTGCCGCCATCATGGGCAACTTGACTGGACGCCCACCTCTTGGTAGAGTAGCCACAGTCCCAAAGTGTCTCCATTTGTAGATCATTTGCCTAACTGTAAACTGGTGAATTTTTGTAAACTGTAAACTGGTGATAAAAACCATTCAAACCTCAAAAGGTTTGAATGGTTTTTATCAAAGTAGCTCTCGTCCACACCTCCAAACTCATTTTCTTAACAAGACTCCAGGTGTGCTAATACCTGTCTCCAATTAGCTTTTTTGAGGTCATTAACTCAAGGGTTCACATACTTTTCCCACTAGCACTATGACATTTTTTATGGCTGTTCTCAATAAAGACATGAAACAGGATTTTTTGTGTTATATTAGGCGCGTTATATTCATCAGTACTCTTGACTTAGATGAAGATCAGATCACATTTTATGACAAATTAATGCAGAAAACCATGAAATTCCAAAAGGTTCACATCCCTTTTCTTCTGATGTTTCATGTCTTTATTGAAGACACTCATTCAACATTCAAAATGGCGTTGGAAAAAGTAAGTGAACCCCTGGAATTAATAACTGGTTGACGCCCCTTGGCAGCAATAACCTCAACCAGGAGCTTCCTGTAGCTGTGGATCAGACCTGCAAAATGGACACCAATGAAACAGCACAGATGAGTGGTGATCAAACAGAGGGAGCTCCAGCCTACAGAGATTGTTTCCAGGTGGTTTCCCAATCAGGTACTGACCAGGCCCAGCCCACACCCAAGAGAGGTGTGGCTGTAAGTCACTGGGGAGAAGCAGGACCCAAGAGACTGAATGATGGAGGGTGAGGCAGACAATGGTGAATCATATGCAACTCAAAAGGAGAAACAAAGTTAGTCTGTGATCTGCCACTGGAGAACAAAAAGAACCGCACTCCAAAACTGCAGCCCAGCAAGAAAAAAAAATCTTCAGACTTTACATCT